GCCTGGCGGGGCGGGGCGGCGGCGCCCCCTCGCGGCCGAGTGCGCAGGTGGGAGGCGCCCGGGCCTTCAAGCCTTGGGGTCTGTCTTTATGTCCATCCCAAAGCCACGTGTTTGACCGTCCGGCTAACAGGTCTGTCCGTCTGTCTTCATAGCTCACAACCTGACATGTGCCTGTCAGTCACCCATCAGTCCCTCAGTCATCAGATATTCACTAGAAGGTCAGATTTGTCCACCGGCCTCTCTGTCCATCTGCCGGTAAGTCACCTCCCGGGAAGGCCCTAAATCAGGACTAGGCAAAGCTGAGAGCCTTTGGAGCACCTGTCCCCATCTCACAGCCCAGGCTTTGAGACGCAGATCCAAAATTTGGAGATATGCAACTCATTAATCTTTGTCATGTCTACCTTCCTGAGAGGGAGACATTTCCAAAACTCTGCTTGGGGCAGAGGGGGCCCAACCTCGGCTATTTAAGGGAAAACTACAGAATGTGACACTCATGTCAGGCACAGGTTCCTGAATCATCTCGCTGCCACCCTAGACCCCAGAGAGGCTCTGGCCCCACATGCTCAGCAATTGAGCAATAATGCCTGAACAGACACATTGTTGTTGTTAGCTGTGGTCTAGTTGATTCCTACTCATGGTGACCCTATGTGTGCAGAGTAGAATTGTGCTCCATAGGGATTTCAAGACTGTGACCTTTCAGAAGCAGATCACTAGGCCTGTCTTCTGAGGTGCCTCTGGGTGGGTTCAAACCACCAACCTTTTGGCTAGTAGTCGGGTGCTAGCTAGGGACTCTAATTAGACAGATACTGTATACCTATTATGTAAATTGGAGTCCCTGTGTCACACAAACAATTAAGCGCTCAGCACTAACCGAAAGGTATCGGCTTGGAATCCACCCAGAGGCACCTCAAAGGGAAGGCCTGGAGATATACTTCTGAAAAAGCAACCATTGAAAACCCTATGGAACAGTTCTACTCTGACACACATGGGGTTGCCATCAGTCGGAATCGACTCCACAGCAATTGGTTTAACAGCCTCTTGGACCCATTTCCTCCCCCTCTTCCACCTCCTTCCCTCAGACCCCGTCTTCTCAGAAATCAAACTCCCTTAACTCAATCCAGGCTTTTTCATGCTTCCCAAAGATTAACTGACCTTGGCAAGGCAGATGGACAGCCCTGCCGAAACTGACTTCAGGGTCCCCACGGTGAGGTAACAGTGGCCCCCAAGAAAGCAGATCCTCCCTGGGATCCAAATGGGCCCAGGTCCACCTAGTCTTCTGAATGTCCTCCTTCACATGTGCTGTTCCTTCTGCCTGGGCTGCAGTGGATGCCCCTTCTGGTCCCAGCCCACAGGCCTCTCTGCTCAGTGCTGTGGGGTAGTGGTTCAGAGCACAGACCCTGGGGCTGACTCCACTCAGGTTCAAATCCCAGCTGTACTCCTTGCTGGTGGTCAATTTTAGCAGTTTACTTTGTCTGCCTGTTTCTTCCTCTATAGAGTGAGGATTAGTAATAGCTACCTTTTAGAATCATCTCTGAAAGGATGAAACAAGATATTACACATTAAGTACTTAGACTGGTCCTCATCACCCAGAAAGCACTCTATAAGTCAGCACTGTCCAATAGAAATAGAATACAAGCCACATATGTAATTTAGAATCTTCTAGTAGTTACATTGACCTGGCTATCTGCTTCTGTAAAGATTACAGCCTAGGAAACCCTATGGGGCACTTTTACTCTGTTGTATAGAGTCGCTATGAGTTAAAATTGACTCGACTGCACTCAACAACAAGCATTATCTATTCTTGTATTGATGATTTTGGTTTCCTGGGCTGTTACTTGGGTGGAGCCCTGGTGGCATGGTGATTAAGAGCTCAGCTGCTAACCAAAGGGTTGGTAGTTTGAATCCACCAGCTGCTCCTTGGAAACCGTAAGGGGCTGTTCTACTCTGTCCTATAGGGTCACTATGAGTTGGAATCAACTCAACGGCAATGGATTTAGTACCTGGGTGGTGCAAACAGTTAACATACTCAGCTGCTGACCTAGAGGTCGGTGGTTCACGTCTATCCAGAGGTGCCTCAGAAGAACGGCCTGGTGATTTACTTCCCAAGAAAAAATCAGCCATTGAAAACCCTATGGAGCACAGTTTTACTCTGACACACATGAGTTGGAATCCACTCAACAGCAACTGGTTAGTAGCCACATTAAAAAGAAACAGGTGAAATTGATTTTAATAACATATTTTGTTTAATCCAGTGTTATCATTTCAGTGTGTAATCAATGTAAAAGTAACAACGAGAGACTTTTTTTTTTTTAATCTCATATGAAGTCTTCAAAATCCAGTGTGTATTTTGTGGACCCGGGTGGCACAGTGGTGAGAGAGCACAGCTGCTAACCAAAAGGTCGGCAGTTTGAATCCACCAGCCACTCCTTGGAAACCCTATGGGGTGGCGATACTCTGCCCTATAGGGTCGCTATAAGTTGAAATCGACTTGATGGCAACGGTTGACTTTTGTTGTTGATTTTACATTTATAGCACATCTCAGTTCGACTCGCCAAATTTCATGTGAACATTAGCCGCATGTGGCTAGTGGCTACCACATCAGATGGCACAGCTTTAAATGCTGCCGTCATTATTTTGGGGGTTTCAACCTAAAAACCTCAGAAAACCATTCCTTTACCTACTGCTGAACTATGCCAGGGCCCCTGTTATTAAGATCTGTTCTTAGCATCCTGAAGCACTCAATGTAATTATAATTAAATAATTCCTATACCCACTAGACTCTAGTCTTCAGGAAGGCAGGGACCATGTCTGTCTTGCTCACTGTTCTACTGCAGTACCTGCCCAGGGCACTGTACAGAGTAGGTGCTCAATAAATACGTGTTGCTTGAACAGCATGTATTAAGCACCCACTTAACAAATTAAGCTTGGCACTGCGCTAGTTGATGCTGAGGAGTGAATCAGTTTCCGAGTACTGCCGTAACAACATACTACAAACTGGGTGGCTTATAAGAACAGACATTTATTGTCTCACAGTTCTGGAGGCTAGTGGTCTGAATTCATGGTGTTGGCAGGGCCACGCTCCCTCTGAAGTCTCTAGGGGAAGGTCATTTCTTGTCTCTCCCAGCATGCATCTTCACATGGCTGACTTTCCTCCACCTGTCTCTCTGTGTCTCTTCCCCTTGTTTATATGACACCATTAGGATTGGATTAGGACCCAGTATGACCTCACGCTAACTTAACTAATAACATCTTCCAAGACCCTATTTCCAAACAAGGTCACACACAGGTACCAGGGGTTAGGACTTCACTATAGCTTTGGGAGACACAATTCAATCCATAACAGGAAGGAAAAAGAGCTTAAGAGGAAGAAGGGAAAAAAAAAAAAAGATTTAGAAGAATAAAAATATATATGTAAACATTATATATGTGTGTGTATATTGACTCAGCAGCACCCAACAACAAAAACATATGTATTTAGCTAGAGAATACATAACTAGAAGAATAAGCTCTGTAATTTACAATATAGGTGTAGAAATTTTCTTTATTGTATATATATAAGCAATAGTTGCTTATCATATAGTCTTCTAGGCATATATTCTCTAGCTAAATATATATGTTGTTGGGTACTGTTGAGTTGATATACACACATATATATAATCCTTAAATATCTATTTTTATATTTCTGCACACTGCTTTGAAACCTGTGTTTTTACTGAACACTATTTCACGAACATCTTTTCATGGAATTCAATATGCTTCTAAAACAGCATTTCTTTGGGTGAAATGGTATTGCATTGCATGATTGTACCAGTATTTACTTAACCAGTTCCCTAGTTAAATTCAGTTATTTCCAAGTTTTCACCGTAATTAGTGATTCTGAGCAGAACATCCTTGTAGCTAAATCTTGGAGCACATCTTTAATTATTTCCTCAAGAGCAATTCCTAGAAGTGGAAGTTCTGTATCAGAGATTAAGTGTATTGTTGGTTCTTTTACTAATGATGTGGTGCAGTTAATTATTTAATACGGCCGTTCTAGCCATTTTTTTGTAACTTCCACCAGATGACTGGGTGGGACTGTGCAAATGAGGTGCTTGTGGCCCACCAAGTGGATTGGATAGCTTGTTAATAATGTAAATAAGGTGCATGACACCCTTATGGGAGTGGAACCATGCAAATAAGGTGTATGGAACCCTAACGAGGGGATTGGTTAGTTTTGCCATACTGCGAGGCTTAAAATGAGCCATCCGAGAGGCAGGAAAGGAGGATCTCAACATCAACAAGAAGAGCCAGGAGTGGGGCACATCCTTTGGACCTGGGATCCCTGCACTGAGAAGCTCCTAGGACCCGGAGACAGAGAGAGGAGCTGTAACACGGAAGATAGCGAGAGACGGCGGTGCATAAGACAGCTGCAGTGAGGCTTCCCAGCCCACAGAATGAAAAAGTGGAGCATTTTTGGGCACGAAGCTTACTGGGAGTAAGGTGCCCCTGCGCACTTACCAACAGAGCTAAAAGAGCTTTGTAACACTTGTCTGAGCAGGACAGAGTGCCATGGGAAGGAAGGCTGGTGTCAGAATTGCTAAAAAGGCTGGAGAGAGGAGGCATGTCTGACCTCCACCTTATAGGAATCAGCTTTGGGCTGTTGATTTTGATTCTCCTTCCCGTTTGCGAAGTTACAGGAGGTCAGATACTTCCGCCAGTCCATTTTTACATAATGTATTGACAAAGTGCTGCCTGTGGCAGCTGCATGTAGATAAACCAAAAAACAACCTCATTGCTATCGAGTCAATTCTGACTCATAACGACCTTATGA